GCAGGTATGTGAAAAAGACCGTTCCCACCATCCCGCTGTATAAACCCTACAGTGAGGCCCCCTATCCCTGCTCTCTGATGTCTGTCTGCTCAATATCACTGAACAGCTCATGCTCTGAGAAACAAAACAGGCGCCACATGTCCATCTGGTCAGAAGGTGCAGCGTTGAAGGGTGCGCACTGTATGCCCTGGGAATTAAACGGGCTGGCACCCAGACAGTGAGTTGGCAGCCTCAGCATCATTTCCAAAGGATATTTGTTCACATCACTAAAACCTCCAGAAAAATTCTAACTTTGCACTTGACAGGAATGGCAGGGATTTCAGCGGGTCAGAGTTAAGGTGTTTTGACAGAGCCCTGTCAGGACTAACAGGGATGTTGCAGTGCAAAAGACAGCGCTGTGTTGTGGCAGCTAAGAGGGTGCCTGGACATGCCATCCCTACCTTTTCAGTCTCAGGGGTTCCAAATACATTTAATTCAACATGAAATGGTTTGAAGTAGAATTTTCAGTCTGGCTTTTGTAATGATTTGGATGGTGTCTTGGATGGTGCATTACAGAAAGGAGAGAGAAGGAAATGAAGAGGAGTTGTTCTTGAATCTCTGATCTCCACAATCTCTCAGAAATAGGGCACAGGGCCTCCTTGAAATCTCTCTACAATGAATTAGCCTGAAGTAAAAGTAGGTGTTTATCTCAAGTCGTTGCCTCAAATAGCTGGCTACCTGTTGGAAGAGGGGTCTGATCGATGCAAACGAAAGCAGCCGTGCGTGAGCTGTTACACAGCGGTTAGTATTGATCAGAGCTAAAGGCTGCCGATAGGAATGTGGAGTGAACTGACAGGCGGAGAAGAGGGAAGGAGGAAACGGCCTTCGCTAGTGGCAGCCGTACAGAGGAAAGCCGATAAAAAGTCAATTCCACTTAACTGAATGACTGCTAACTAAATATTTTTGGGGCCAGAGCCTTCCCAGATAGCAGCTGGAGTGTCTCTGTTCCGGAACTGAGACATCAAGTGAGTGCCGGCATCGACAGGTGAGATAACAGAGACACTTGTGATGGCTGGTGGAGCAGGAAAGCCCGTCAGCCGCGTGTAGTCCCTGGCCTCAGTGGAGCACCTCCCCGGAGTAGGGACCCTTGCTGATGCGGGAAGAGGGAAGGTGCAAGAAGAAGGTGTGTGGGGCATGCATCTTCAGTAGCGTGAGACCTACTCCACACAGAGAAAGAAATGATCCAGTCTCTGCCGCTGTCATCTCAGGTCACTGCTGGAGCAAGCCACAGAGCAGCACTTGACAGCTGTGAGAAAGCTGCCTACTAGTAAGCCTCGGTCAGCAGAGTACGAATAGTGACCACCTGAGAACGATCGCTGGCTACAAGTAACTGCAACAAGCTGGGTAGATGCAGCACGAGCTAATTTCAGTGGAAACCCCATTTCAGAGGCACACAGTAGTCTCCATAACCCCCGCTGTGCTGCCATTTCTGCAGAGTGTGATTCAGGGAGTCAGACTGTATGTAGAATCAGTTTCCAAAGGGTGTAAATCACCTGGGAATCCTTCTGGATGAAAGGTGTTTGCAATGTAAGTTACATCAGTGGCTTGTGTACGATGACTGATCATTCCGGATTAATGGACACAAATCAGACATTCGAAAAGGCAACACACAGAAACCTGTTGGGGAACATTTTAACTTGCCTGGGTGCTCGCTAATGGATCTCCAAGTTACTATATTGTTTCAGGACAATTTCAAAAACCAACCTGAAAGGGAGTCTGCAGAACTTCCTTTCATTTACAAGTTTGATTCCTACACCAGAGGTTTAAACAAAGGCCTTGCATGGATGGCCCGCTACATTCCACATCCTAATGGCATAAAAAAACAAGCACCGGGTACTTAAGAGCACTTAATACCCACTCTATTGGCTTCATTTAGCACCAACACTCTAATTGACTGTTTTTCCTCCTCTTTTCCCTTCTTTTTCCTTCTCTCTCCCCTCCCCCATCCCCTGTCTCTTTGCTATTTATTGGGAAAATGGACCCTTTAACTCCATTCATCTGAAGAAGTGGGGTGTGCCCACGAAAGCTCATGATTCCATCGACATTTTTGTTAGTCTCTAAGGTGCTGCAGGACTATTTGTTGTTTTTTAAGTTTTTTCAGTTTCTCCTTGTTCTGTTTTCTTCCTTTCTGAGCAAATCAGTTCAGGGCAGTTCCTGGTTGTCTTCCTCTCTGAATTGCTCGGATTAGTTCTGCTTTATGGTCGGTTATGTGCATGGCCACACAGCGGAGAACATGAAGAAATCAAAAGCAGCAGAGTCGTGGTTCCTGAATCCCACATTCAGCACGGACACTGTATTACAGACCAACTTTGAGTGGCCTGGATCAATGGTTAAGGTACATAATGTGAAATGATTCCCCAGCTTTCATTCAGGTTCAACCTTTTGAAAGTTCTAAAACTCATTAATTGGGAGGGTAGGAAAAGACGAACGTAGGAATGAGTCTGTCTGTCCATCTGTTCATATGCACAATTGGTCAGAATCCCTGTCAACAGAATAGAGTCTGTGGGTCCCCTGTGCTAGAAATTCTACCTGGGTCAATTGTCATGACAATGCGAGCTACTTGCTACCCCCAGAGAGTGGAGGCCTGAAGCTACTTAGTGTATGCCTAAAAGTGGGAATCACAGAAGCATAGAGACGGAGGGCTGGAAGGGTCCTTGAGGGGTCATCTAGTCCAGCCCCCTGAGCTGAGGGAGGACCAAGTAAACCTAGATCAGCTGTTTGTCCACCCTGTTCTTAAGAACCTTCAATGAGGTTGAGTCCACAACCTTCCTTGGAAGCCTGCTCTGTTGCTTCACTACTCGTGCAGTTAGCTAGCTTTTCCTAATATGCAACCCAAATCTTCTTCTTGTCCTACCTTCAGAGGATATGGAAAACAATTGATTGCTGCCCTCTTTATAACACTCCTTAACATATTTGGAGGCTGTTGTTTGGTTCCTCTCTCAGTCCTCTTTTCTCAAGAGTAAACACACCTCGTTTTTTTAAAACTTTTCCTCGCAGCTCAGGTTTTCTAATCCTTTTTTCATTTTTGTGGCTCTACTCTGAACTCTCCCCAATTTATCTACTAAAGTTGAGGCCTGACCTTGCCCAGTACAGTGGGACATGATATGTCAGGTAAGAGTCACCATGGCTTTTCTAAAGGGAAATCATGGCTTACCAATCGATTAGAATTCTTTGAGGTGGTCAACAGGCATGTGGACAAGAGGGATCCAGTTGATATAGTTAGTCTTTCAGAAAGGTTTGATAAGTTTCCTCACCAATACCTATTAAGAACAGGGAGCAGTCATGGTAGAAGAAAAAAACCTTCACCGGCATCAGTAACTGGTTAAAAGAGTAACGAAAGGGTAGGAATAAATAGTCAGGTTTCACAATGGTTGAGGTAGATAGCCCCAAAGATTTATATTGGGACCTGTGTTCTTTCAGTGTTTTCATAAATGATCTGGAAAAAGGGGTGAAGAATAAGGTAGAAAGTTTGTAGATGATACAAAATTACTCAAGACTGGTAAGTACAAAACTGACTTGGAAAAGTTACAAAGGAATCTTACTGAACTGTACAACTGGGGGAGAAAATGGCAGATTCAATTCAATTTTGAAAAGTTCAAAGTAATGCACTTTGGGAAAAATTATTCCAATTTTATATACGCCAATATAGGATCGAACGTAACTATTACCACACAGGGAAGCACTCTTGGAATTCTCTGTGGATAGTTCTCTGAAAACATCTGTTCAATTGGCGGCAGCAGTCAGTAAAGCTTAGAAAATGTTAGCAATCCTTAGGAAAGAGAGAAAAGGAAGAAAATGTCACAGTGTCACTCTCGGAGTCCGTGGTGCACCCATGGTTTGAACACTGCACTCAGTTCTGATCATTCCATCTCAAAACTGTGCAACAGAACTAGAGAAGGTGCAGAGAAGGGCAACAAAACTGATGTGGGTATGGAAGAGCTGCCATCTGAGGAGAGGGTAGGAAGACTAGGACTGTGTAGCTTACAAAAGACAGCTCAGAGGGAACAGGATAGCGGTCTATAACATTATGAAAGTGAATAGGGAAATATTATTTCCCTCTTCACATAACACACGAATCAGGGGTCACCCAATGAAATTAATAAGCAGCAGGTTTAAAACAAACACAACACACAGGCACTCTTGGGAACTCATTGCAAGAGATGTGATGGGTTAAAAGTGTAACTGGATTAAAAAATACTTAGATGAGTTCTTGGAAGATAGGTCCATCAGTGCTTAATAGCCAAGATGTTCAGGGACACCACTCCATACCAACTGCTGGAACTGCATGACCAGAGATGGATAGTTGTAGTATTCTGTTCATTCTCACTGATGCATCTTGGCGGGTCACTGCCACAAGACAGCGCCATGTGTCACACTGGCCATGGTGTGATCCATTCTAACCCGAGAGCCTTTTCAGCAGTACTGCCACCTAGCCTCTTGCTCTCTATTTGATACTTCCTCCCTAAATGGAGTTCTTTGCACTTGTCCTCGTTGAATTTCATCATGTTGATTTCAAAACAATTATTTAATCTGTCGAGATCATTTTGAATTCTAATCCTGTCCTCCAAAGTGCTTGCAACTCTTCCCAGATTGGTGTCACCAGCAGGTTTTATAGGCATACTTTCTACTTCCTTATTAAAGTCATTAATGAACATGTTGACTAGTACTGGACTGAGGACTGAGTCCTGTGCAACCCCACTAGAAAAGCCACACAGTTTGACAGTGAAATCATGAATAGCTATTCTTGGAGTAGGGATGTGAATGACTAGTCAACTATCTGATAAGCATATGCTCATTGTATAGTCGACACACTAGTTGACTAGTCACAACCCCCTGTCCTTGCTGACTCTATCAGAAAGAGGCAGCAAGGGGGGGAGAAGTGGAGGGGGTGCTTCAAAGTGGCAGTACCACGTGGAGCCCACAATCAGACTCAGGGCTGCATGTGGTTCTGCCTCTTTGAAACGCTGCGTGGAGCCCAGGGCCAGCATGGAGCTCCTTTCGCTGACGCTGGGCTCCATGCGGTGCTGCTTCTTTGAAACACTGCAGGGAGCATGGGGCCAGCAGGCGACTGCTTAAGTCCCTCGCTGGACCGTGCTCCCCGCAGCGCTTTCACCTTTGAAGTGTAACAACAGGCCTGGGGATGTTGCTACACTTCAAAGGTGGAGGCGCCCTTATCGACTAACTGAATAGTCTATGCAAACTGCATCGACTATTCGATTAGCTGACTAATCTGAATTTCACATCCCTATCTTGAAGTGCAATCTTTTAATCAGTTGTGCACCTAACTTGTAGTAATTTCCCTAGTTTATGAGGATGTCATGTTGGATAGTGCCAAAATCCTTACAAAAGCAAAGCTATGTCATATCTACTGTTTACTCCTTCCAGTTTCCAGGTTTTGAAATTCTGCCCTGTATGTTAACCCTTGACTGATCAATTACAGATTTATAAGTTTCATAAAGCTGCCTCATTAGGAGAGTTAGACCAGATGAGACACTTTTTAGCTTTGACAAATTTCCTTTTGCTTAGTTAAATTTATTTTTTTTTCTGTTATGGTGCCCGGCTGTCTCAGTGCATGGGCATTTCTAAATTGCATTTCATTATCATTAACTGTTATTAAAATAAAGAGAATCTTAGAGGGCCACAAGTCACAAACCATAGAACTGATCCTGCAAACACCTGTTATCAATGGGACCATTCCCACGGATTGTCACACTCATATCTGTTTGCATGGTCGAGCCCTGTGTATTGATAGCATAACTGTTCCCATTTCCATGACTAATGATAAGTTATAGTATTCAGCCTGGCAGAATCATTTATTTATCCCAATTTATACCATGTTCTTACTTGGTGCATTTCATTTTGCAGAATGAAAATAGATTAGCCATCTTCCCTTTTTTTCCTAGTCAAGTTCACTTTCTAACTTTCATGCATCAGCAAAATGCTGCAATGCTCAGGCTGCAAACATGTCTTTTCTGATGTGTTTTTAAAAAGTCACAAAAATATTCTATTAATAGCGTTTATAATTACACAAATCTTAACTGTGAGGCTTAAGTCACCTCCTGATGGTGCTCCATTTAACTGTATTGAAGGCATTAAAATAGTTAGTAGCCCTCTCTGAAGGAGCACACAGCCCACCTGGCCAACTTGCTCAAGAACAGTGAGCGGATCTAAAGAACAAAGCAGACCTCCTTTTCCCCACCTCTCCTGCGAAATATTCTATAGGCCAAAAGTGGGTTAAGACCCATTTATTAAGGCTCAGCCTATCGTTTTGTCCTGTGTTTCTGCTACTCCGCTTCCTACAATGTGTTCTTATGTTTCAATGCTCTGTCTTTTCAGACAGTACAGAAGAAAGCAATTAACTCCATTAGACCCATAGTATAAAAAAAGGGAGTGATTTCTCAGAAATACTGACTGAAGAATGCACACAAGGAACAGGAGCAGCAGAGAACAGCAACCGTGTGCTATGAAAAGCTAAATACAAAAAGTGCTAGCTGTCCCTATACCAGAGCACATTCCTCCATCTGTCATCTGGGCCCATCCACTCCCAACTGTTCTTAAATTAAACGAATGCATCTAATGGGAGATTTGCTCCTGAAAGCTTCTGAGAATTCATCCAAGACAAATTAAAACACTGCAATGTAATCATACAATTCAACTCACTAACAGGTCGCGTGGCTCCCATTTACCCAGAGAAGAAAAGAACCATAAGACCCCAGATGGAGAAAAACAGCTAAAGAGCAAACCTCCCTTCCCTTCACCCCTTCAGTGATGGAAACAGATCCAGATGAGGTTAGTTACTCAGTTTGCTACAAGTTTGGTAGCAGAGGCTGAAGGGCTAAATAAGAAAGGAAACAGTTGCACATGTCTTGTTTCATTATGCTAATCTTTGGGGCTTGCAAATTTAAAGTTTTGAAAGGGACTGGGAAGGTCAAAATCCAATATTAAATAACAAGTTTCCTTCCTTGTGTAATTAAATATCTTCTTGCCTTATTAAATCTATAGTAGGTTTTATAATCTAATTTCCTTTTTGTCATTAGTGATTTTTATTTACTTTTTGCATGTTAACTAGGTTGGATAATAGATTTCTCATTTTTAATTTTTTGTTCTAGTTCATTTCATTTTTGGCTTCTTATGCAGTGTACAATTTTGCAGTGTTTGAGCTGCAAATGTTTAGATTTTAATTTTTGTATTGTAATTTCCTATGAAGATTAGGATTTATAGATACTATTTTTTAAAAGCAAACTTTAAATTATGGTCATCATAACCTCCCAGTGTATCTTTAACAATGGATCTTAATTTTCTCTGACTGTTTCTCCGTCCTGCTGTTTGATAACTCAGCAGATTGCTTAGAACCAAACCAAGACAACCAATGCCCCGGATGACAATTCAGGATGGAAGGGAACTTGCCCAAGGATGGAAAAGGCATTACTGGGCTAGTCACTACTCCGTGGTTGTCCCAAGGCCCAGAGGGCTTCAGCGGCTGTGTGACAGTGCACGGGAGTGTGCAGGGATGCCGGCAGCCATATCAAAAGCAAAGGCGGTCCAGGTTGCCTTTCTTCAGGCCTTGTACCAGACTTGGGATCAGCATGTGGTCGAGTCAGCACCTAGATGCTCATCCAGCTCGGATCCAGATTGTGTTGCTGACTATCCTGCTCATTTCCTTCCTTTTTCCCTAGTCTCAACATCTAACCACAGAGCCCACTTAAACCTTCTGGATTTGCCTGAATGTCCTGACCGTTTCGCTGCGAGTAGAAATAACATGGTCACACAGCAACCACCTCTGAATAGCTCCTGCTCCTTTCTTCATCTCCCCTTTCCGCTGCATCTTCCTCTGCCACAGACTCACTAGAAAAGCGACGAGGAGTCCTGTGGCACCTTATAGACTAACTGAAGTGTAGGAGCATAAGCTTTCGTGGGCAAAGACCCATTTCATCAGATGCATGTGATGAAGTGGGTCTTTGCCCATGAATCCACTACATGCATCTGACGAAGTGGGTCTTTGCCCACGAAAGCTTATGCTCCTACACTTCAGTTAGTCTATAAGGTGCCACAGGACTCCTCGCCGCTTTTGCAGATTCAGACTAACACGGCTACCCCTTTGAGACTCACTAGAGTGTCCTGAGCTTCCTTCTTGCCTGTGTGTCCTTCTGGCCAGGTCACTTAGATACCACAGTGGTAGGCACCAGTACAAATATTCATGTAGGCTTAAAGGCTAGGAGAGACCATCATGAGGATCTAATATTGTAATCTCACCTCCTGCGCATCGCAGAACGACATCCACCCACACCTGTAATGGACTCCTCACCTCTGGCCAAATTACTGAAGTCCTCAAACTTTGATTTAAAGACTTAAAGTTATAGAGAAGTCATGACTTAGTCAAGCTCAAGCCAGCAAGAGATAAGGTCTTTCCAGGGTCTTCTGATCTTCCCTCCTTGCGGTGTGCTGCTAACCATTTCTTTTACTAAATACACTCACTCTTATACTCGGACCAGGGTGAGTGACAGAAATCCAATGCTGACCACTTCATTATCTAATGACCTTGTGTCTCTGGCCTTGTGCCCCTCTATCTCTCCTGGGCAGTGTGCCTTATGTCATAAGTCCTTGTAAAAGGTCAGGACCCCCAAGCCATCCGGTCTGTCCATGTTGTTTTTATTTTACCACCAGAGAAATCATGCCTGTCGGAGCTCATTAAACCCCTATTTATGGGCCATGCACCATTCCCTGTAGTGAAGATGAGCCGCTACCTTTGAAATACAATCTTCACCAGTTCAGATCAGTGTAGCCTGAGGATTATATTCCAGCAATCAATCTCCCATAATCTGCCCCCCTCAATTGGCATAGCTGCTGTTGTCCCTGCATGAAGAGGCAAATCCTCTTAAACAACTCTCGGTACAGGAGTAAGACTGTGAAAGAGATATATTAGTTCTCTAGCAGAAGGCAGACGATCAAACCTATCACAGGCCAGCTGATCACACTGATAACAAGGAAACGGGTGATCAATGACTACAGTGTGCTGCGAAACTGTCGATACAACAACTATCTATAACAACACTATATATTCAAAGTGATACACAAATATTCATTAACCCTCTCACCATCCCTTTGAGATGATATTCCCATCCCTGAAGTTGGGCAATGGTGTGATTTCCTGAGGGTTAGACAGCTAATCAATGGCTGAGGTGGGATTAGAAGTTCGGAAGGACAGCCCGATTCCAGCCTTGTAATCATCCTTCAATCTGTGCTGCTGCTCATTAGTTGCCCCTCTCAAGCACACATGTGACAGAGGGAGATGGTTTTGGCTTTGGTTTTAAGAAATGGAGGCTGTAATGCTGGAGCTGGACTGACGAATTTCCAAAAGTATTTTTGAGACAGGAAAAGAAATGAAGGCAGCATACGAACCTCTAGGGGTGCTGCTATTTTCCTCCTGCAGGGTGTTTCGATTAGTTACCTGTTTTGCCATACACGCCCCCAGGGTGTAACGTATAGGGTCAAGTCTCATCTGGTTGTTACTGGCTCATACTGGGCTAGTGACAACGTAGCAGTGCTTGTCTGAAACATCCTACCTACTTGGCAGCTTGTGGTTCTGCTAACTCGGAGAGGGAAGGGTTGTGGTTACCCCCAACAAGGTGTGAGAAGTGGGAATAGTTTCCTGGGGACAGAGGATCTAGACTGCAGATTCAGCAGTCTTGAGGAAGGAATCCCAGGAGCAGCCAATTCCAGGGGAAAAAGTCTAAGTGGATTTTTACATTGTCTTGTTCTGATTTCCTTTAGAAATAATGCTAATCTCCAAGAAAGGGGCAAGTTGTCTGTGTGGGCTAGTTTTGGGGTGCAAGCTGGGAAAGGCAGCTTCTGACATGCAGAATCAGTCATGAGATTTATTATTTTAAGTCCATCTGCAAAAGTGGCATAAGAGAAGGAAAACTGAAGAAGCCCTGAAACAGACGATGGAACAGCAGACAAAAACGCTGTAGGACTAAGGCTACGACTACACTGCACTGTAAAATCGAAAAAAGAGATGCAATCTGCAGTACGCAAATGGAATATCTTTTTTCAATTTAATTTTGAAAGAGACTATTTTGAAGTTTGGCATGTCTACACGGCACCAGATTTCGAAATAAAGTGTTCTTTTGAGCCATCCCTTATTCCTCACAGAAGGAGGTTTACAGGGATGGCGAAAGAGCATGTCTGCTACTTCTAAAAATTTTCCGAAATAGCGGACACGTTCGTTGGATGCGGTGTTGCTAGGTCAAGATACTTCCGGTGTGCCGACACAGCAGTGCAGTCTAGACCTTGCCTTAGATATAGCCCATCTCCCAGAACAGATGGACCCACTGCAAGTTATGAAGAATTTTGGGGTCCATGCTGCACCCCCAAAACACCAGGATAGAGAGTTCCTGGCGCAGATATTCCCGGGGCCCAATAACCCAAAGACACTGCCCAGGTTTCAAGAGCTCCCCCCCCAGCTAAGGCCATACAGATCTCTTTTCACCCTCATACCTGTGTAGAAGGGAGGGTTACAGTAGATGAGAGGCACACCAGTAAAATGGCTCTAAGTGGAAGTCTCCATTCCAGGTTCCTAGTCAGACTCTGCATACTGAGGGACCAGATTTAGTACATGAATTGCGAAAGTGACTGTTACATTTTTTGCATCATTATACTAAGTGCATCTCTAGCTTATTCTTGGCTAGTTGTAATGTGAGTATCTCTTCTCTCTCCTTCCCTCATTGGTTTAGCTAGTTACTTTACTCATGCAATCAGACATTATATAACCTTTCAACTTGTGCAAAAAAAAGCAACGGCTTTGAGAATTACCAGAGAGAATAATCAATAAATCAACCCTCATGTTGATAACCAGCATGTTCTTTTACAAAGCTATCACTCTTCTATCTGTCCATCTAACCAACTAGCAAAAACATTTAAACAGGTTACTACAGTCTTTTGCTGAGTCGCTGTGGTTGATTTGCTGCCTATCTGCCGCACAGAAACTATCCATCAAGTCTAAAGGAGAGAGTGTTTGAAAGGCAAACATGATCTGTGATCAATATCTTTACAAATCCAAAGGAAACCCCAGCTCCCAAAGGGTTAATCCAGAGAAGCAAAGCTATCAGAATGTTTAGTGAGCTAATGTTTTTATTGATGGGGAAAGGCCTTTAAGTCCTCAATAGAAAAAACGGTTGCAAGATTACAACGGTTCGAGAGGCTCTGATTGGTAGGAACATTCTGGTAAAAGTTTTCTCTGCTATTTTAATTCCAGAAAACTTCATCTCCCATTATAGCCAAAGCACCCTGTTCCCCGATATAACAAATAACCCAGGCAAACAACCCCAGGCCTGTGTAACACACAGCTCAATCAAGCCATCCTGGTATAAGCGCATCCAAATTTAGCAACCCTGGACTAGCACGCAAAGCAAGCTACTGCTCCTAGGAGAAAAGCAGATCTCATCCGAGCACTCTTGTAAAAGGGACATTTCACTGGGTTTGCTGTAAGTGGCATTGTGCAATTTCCTCTCTAAATGGCTGGTAACATCTACTCCATCCAGTATTGCTCTAGTGCACACATTTGGGTATGGATAACTCATCCTGGACATCATGATTTAAGACATACTATTAGGAACGTAGCAGCACATCACCCACTATCAACATAGGTCAGCACAACTGGGCTTGGCAAACCTTCTGTGGGACAAGCTGTGAGGGCTGCAACTTCCCCAGTCTACCTTAAAGCATCAGCGTCCACCTACTAGTGGGCTGTGTGCGGTCAATGTCAGGGTCAGGGGTCAGGGTGTAGCTGC